GTGTGTGTGCCACTGTCAGCACTTTGTCCTTCTGTAGGCTCATTAGAGACAAGCTGCAAGGAATGCTGGGTAATCAATACTGCTGAGACCCTTAGAGACCAGACACATCGCCTTAGAGCGAGTTCTGTCTTTTTTGTCCTTCTATGTGTGTGCGTGTTTACAACCCGTTACCGTGGAAACCGCTGTGATGCTGTGGCACTGACCCTCCACACGCACCCGTCCGGACAGCTGGCAAAACTGTAGAAAGCAGAGACGGTGTTTCTGAACATGGGACCTGAGCAGGCCGGTGGGGCTGAGGGGAGGAGACGCTGGCGTTGGGGTTGGAGTGCGGATGCAGCTGTAGTCTCGGCTCTTTGTCTTCTCTCCTTCATCCCTCCGTCTCTCCTGGGAGAGGATGACAGCGGAGGAGGAGAGAGGGAGGGAGTGCTCAGGGTTACAGCTGACAGGATGACAGAGAGCGCGTCCTTTGGATTTACCCACTGTAAGACACACAGACACAAACATCCTGAGCCGGAGTAAATATGTCATCCACCCTCTGAAACATAGGACGCATCTGTGAACTCTGATTGGTCAACAGCTGTCTGCTAAAACCAAACTCGTCCTAAAGCCAGTAATAAGCTGTGGTTGAACACTTTAAATGTTTTAGTGTGACATCTAAAATATTCACACGTGCTTCAGACAGTTTCATGTTTTGTTCTCCAACATTAAACACGTCCGTGAATCTGTCTTACCACGCTAAACAAACCTGGACCAATCAGGAGAAAGCACAGGTAACTTCAGGCATGTTTTATGCATGACACCAGTGATTGGATTAGCGGAACAGGTTTTACTCCGTCACCTTCCAAGGTTCTCTACAACAATCTCAACCTCTGTTTCATAGAGGATGACCTGATATTAAAAGAACGTCATAGAAACACAGACTGAGTAACTTCAATCACTTTTTGTTTAAAACCACAAACTCATGGATGTACCTGCACTGTACAAAGGGACAGAGACCATTGTTATGCAACTTGTCTTGAATAAAAGCTGTTTAAATGAGACAACAAGAAAAGAAAAATCAGACGAACTAAGTTCAGTTCATTTTTATTTCAAACATTTCAAACGTGCTTTCACAACCATTACAAAATATCATTCCATTATCTGTTTGAAAAGGAGCAGAAGTATTTACTTATTTGTCCCCACCCCCTCAAGTTTGATTTAGTCTTAAATTAAACAAACAACATGTGAAACAAAAGCAAAGCAAAACAAACATACAGAATTCAAAAACAAGAAATAATCAAGCCCCACCACAGTACAGTTTCTTTCATATGAAAAAGACACAATGTGTAAATTTGCAGATTCACAAGTTATGGAAAAACAAACAAACAAACAAACAAACAAAAAACCAAAAAGAACAACAACACCATTACCAGCAACATCATCGTCCTGGCTTAACCCAGTCTTATGTTTTTACTGTCTTTTATTTGTTCAGTTAGTCTGCTCCATAATTTAACTCCTGCAACTGAGATAGATTCTTAAAGTTGTTCTAGCACTTTGTATTTTTAAATTCCACTTCCCTCTTAAGTTATACCCACCGTCTCTTTCTACGAACAATTTACAGATTTCTTTTGGAAGCAATTTATTTCTTACTTTATGTATTATTTGCGCTGTTTTAAGCTTCACCAACTCATGGAATTTAAAAGCTTGCATTTTGACAAAGAGTGCATTTGTATTATTAATCCTTTATTTATCCAGGTAAAAAATCTCATTGAGATTAAAAATCTCATTTCCAAGAGAGACCTGGCATCATAGCAACAAAAGTCACATACCACACAGGTATATAACATTTAAAACAAATACAATATCCCATACAAACATGTGTAAAATATACAATAACAGATCAATGGTCCCTGTACCCACATTATTATTAATCTGATGGCCCTTTTCTGTATTCTAGTTACTGTTTGTGTGTTACTCTTGTATGTTTCCCCCGACCTCGACACAGTAGCTCATATACAGCAGCAGTAAAGCACAGTATAACATGTGCAGGGCTTTCTGATCCAACATGTGCTTTGCGTTCCCCACGACGGCCCTGTGCCAGTTTCCCCCGAGCATCAGTGCTGTGTGGCTTCCAGCTCGTGGAAGATATTTCATTTCATTGACTCTTTCTAAATATACATTGTCAACACATATTTCTACTTTGATGTTTCGAGATTCAATGATAATTTATTTATATCAAACCACTTCTTTAATATCGTTAATTCCTGTGTGATCATTTCCAAAACCTGTGGCAACTCCACACCTGAACACAGTATATTTGTGTCATCTGCAAATATTACAACCTTAAAATCTGCGATACTCTGCAGATATCATTTAAGTACATAATAAACATTTTTGGACCCAGTACTGAACCTTGAGGTACTCCACAAGCTATATCCATCAAATTAGATTTATATTCATTTATTTGTACATATTGTTGCCTATTCCCTACATAGCTTTTTACCCAGTCCAAAACCACTCCCCTACCCACACCTTTCCAGTTTGTTATTAGAATTTCATGATTAACAGCATCAAACGCCTTTAGATGTAAGAAAACGAGTGCGTACCTCTTATTGTCCACACGTTCTGTTATCTCTTCCATTAAATCTATCAGTGCCAGAGCTGTTGACCTGTTGCTCCTGAACCCAAACTCACTATCTGTCAGTAATTCATATTTTTCCACAAAACTGTCAAATCTTTTTATGAAGAGTTTTTCCAGTATCTTAGAGCACTGGGAGAGTATTGACACTGGTCTATAGTTTGTAAAGTGATGATCCAGGGTAATTGTTATTCCCTGATTCATCTTTGATTATTCTGTTTAATACATTCCAGATATCTCTTGTGTTATCTTTATTGTGTTCTAACCTTTTAATGAAATACTCTCTTTTACAGGATCTCATTATATTAGTTCATTTATTTTTGTAAGTTTTATACTTCCTTTCAGTTTCTATTGTTCTCTTTTTTATGAATTCTCGATATAGGCTATTCTTTTTTTTGCTGGCATTTTGTAGTCCTTTAGTCCTCCATGGTCTTCCTGCATAGTTGTGTTTCCTGTTGATTTCAATTACTGGGCAGTTTTTATCAAGTAACGTATTAAATGTTCTTAAAAATCCTTCGTAAGCTTTATTAGCTTCTTTTTGTTCATATATAATATTCCAATCATGCTTTAAAAGTTACTTTCTAAGACAGTTTAACGTCTTCTCTGTTCTTATTCTTTTGTAAATAATCTCGTGTCCATCGTTGTTCACTTTATAATGGCAATTATAAGATGCAAAGACTGGTAAATGGTCACTTATATCATTAACTAATAGCCCACTTTTTATATTTCCTTCTATTATATTTGTAAATATATTATCTAATAGAGTCGTGCAGTGAGATGTTATTCTGGTCGGTCTTGTTATCAGCGGAAATAAACCGATGCTGTACATGGAGTCAATAAATTCTGCTGTACTCTTATTATGAGTCAATATTAAGTCCCCACAGATAAACACTCTTTTCTGCTTTATATTTGTAAATAAGTCCTCCATATTATCCTTGAATATCTCAATCTTAGATCCTGGTGTTCTGTAAATACAACTGACAATTAGGTTTTTCCTTTTTTCCATACACTGTTATCAATAACAGTCGTCGTTCTTCCCATTCTTTCGTACTTTAGGTTTTTATCAATGTAAAGTGCCACCCCACCTTTCTTGTTGATCCTGTCTACATGAAGGAATTCATATCCATTTATTTTAAAGGCTTCTTCTTTTCCAGGAGTTATCCAGGTCTCTGATATGGGTGAGGGTTATAAAGCCTACCCTAACCCCATCACCTTGAATGGCTGTTTAAACTGTGTTATGTTTTCTTTGATGGATTGAAAGTTTGCATATAAGCTTTGACTATTAAAGTGAACCGTTGTTGTACCCTGTTCTACCTTGATTTTCTTTTTAAATTGCTCGTTTGTGTAATAATTGCATTCATTTGTCTTATTGTTAAAGAAATTACAATCAGGATCTGTGTTGCTGTCATACATTAATGTCCTATTGTCAATATCTATGAGTTGTTAGTTGAAAACTGTCAGACATCTGCGTTGGTTGTGCACTTGGACGGTCCCATCATATTTAGCACTGCTTTGCATTCTGACTTATCAGTTTTATCTTTGTAGGTGTGTCATCTCTTTGATGACTAGAACCTGCTCTGGTCTTCCATTTAACTCAATGAATATTTTACAGTCTGACGTCCAAGTTCACTGTATTTTCTTCTGTTTTCTTAATATCCTTGCTTGTCTTGCAGTGTCAGCATTTTTCTTGATTAGGTGTTCGTTTAAATAAACATTTGTACGCTTTCTTCCTCGCTTGAGCAGTTCTTTTTTCTGTTTTCTATTTACAAAACGTATGATAATGGCAGGTATTTGATGTTTGTTTTTCCTTGGGAGAGGATGGCATCCCTCAATATTTTTACCGTCCATTTCGATACCCTTGCTTTTGAAGATGCCGTCACCTGCTCTTCCAAAGAGCGTAGCTCCTGCTCGGGTGGCTCCCCTCTCTCTGACGCTGCTACCCGTGCATGTCTGATGCTTGGTTTCCAGTCCCGTCACTATCACATCATTTACTCTTGAATATTGTTTGACGTAGAAGTAAAATGTTGATCAAACAGCGTGCACTCCAAACAGCTCCAGCCTTTTGATCTTAACCTGTGAGATGGTTTCCAGTAGAGCACTCCTCCTCCCAGCTTCACATTTGTGTACAGCACATCATCCAGTTTGATCTTAGTGTGTGTGTGTGTGTGTGTGTGTGTGTCTATTACTGGTTAATAGATATGCAATCAGCCCTGATCACACCTCATCTGTGTGTTTGCAGGTTTTTCCTCAAGTTTTTTCTGAAGTGTAACCAGAACTGCCTGAAAAATGCAGGAAACCCACGAGACATGAGGCGATTTCAGGTAAAGCACACACACACACACACACACACACACACACACACACACACACACACACACACACACGCACACACAGATGAATTCATTTCCCTAAAGGGCAGGACATGGCTGTGGATGATCCCATAATGCATTGCAGCAGGGCAGCCCAAGGCTTATTGCTTTGGAGATAAAATATGAGAGGTCATCAGAGACGTCTGTCTGTCCATCCTTCCAATTATTTGTGTTCAGCATCTGTTTGGTGTCTGAATGAAGTGTTAAATGATTAAATTCAAGCTTCCTGTCAAAAGCAGTAACATGGTAGTAAGTGTCAGTCACAATCACGCCAGTACAGACAGGATAACTCGACGTTCACTCATCAATAATGAAACTTTAAAAATAAATAATCCTTTGATAAGTAGAACTGGTGGAGAACAAAGAACCTGATGTTCCAGAGGAACACTCGTTCATGAGAATGAGAGTTCGTTCTTAATGATCGCTGCTGGATCAGAGTCGGCCTGTCCATGTCTGATGCTGGTAAGAGAAAGAAACCAGAAGCTTCTCAAACATGAAGCCCCACCAAACAAAATCTCCCACCCGGAGCTTCATCAGAAGCTCCAGATGTTGAGGGTATCTGCAGATGTTTATCACCACGGCTACCACAATAGAGTTTTAAAAGACGTGAGGGCGTAATAGCCCACGTAAGCTGCATTTATCAGTGGTGCTTCAGAGCATCAAATCATAAAACCTTTCTGTAGTAGAAATGTGCTCCACACTGTGGGGTCTGAGCCGTCACCAGATCCCTGAGCACTAAACCAACACACAGTAGAATGTGTCATTGATGTGTTTTTATTACATTGATCCTCAAAGTCTTTGCAATCAGGGAACAAAGAAAATAATCATGAAATCTAAATACTTGCACTAAAAGACAGACGGTCATAGCAGTTATTCATTATTATTATTATTATTATTATTATTATTATTATTTTCTTTTCCCACTATTTTATAGCGATACTTATGTGTGTGTGGGGTGTTTGCATGTTGTGTGTGTTATAATATTGATTTGATTTGATGTTGGTATGTTTGAAAGCGTAGCTGCGTGTCCGTGCAGACACTCAGTAAAAGAAAAGATCAAAATGCTGCTCTGGATTTACAGCAGCATAAAAATGTTTCATTCACGATCTCAGTAAATATAAAGGAGGCAGTAAAGCTGCTGTGACCCTCTGTGTTGCGTCTCAGCGAGAGCCTGCTGACCCCGAGCGCCTTCATGAAGCTCAGATTAACTGAGTGCGCAAATACAGACGCCCCACAGTTAAACACCCTCAACCACGAGAGCTTCATTCATCAGACACTTAACAACGAGCACCGCTTATCAGGAAGAAGAGCCCCATGATTGATCCTCATTATTGATCAGACCCATCGTACCGTTACGGTCCAAAAGAGCAGCTGAAGCCAGCAGGAGGTGGGAGGAGAGAGGAGGAGCCATAAAACATGAACACATATTTGAAAAAAAACGAATACCTTCAAATCTGCAGAAAGTAAACAAAAACTTTGATGTTATTATGTAAGGAAAACATGGAATGAGCTGACAGCAAGCGATTTATGTGATGAACATGTTTCTAAAAAGTTGCTGCATTACGTCAAACACATCAACACGTTGATGAGTCCGTCGATGTCTGCAGCACCAACAGCTGACGAAAAAAACGGCGACACCATTAAAGAAAACAAACTTCTGCGACCTGTCGCCCTAAGAAATGTCAGGTTCACATAGCGTCTCCTTCACCGCGCTGTTACCTGTTCACTGCCAATCACAGGAACCCAGAAACAACAAGACAACACCAGCTCAGTCTGAGGGACCAAGAGCTTCAAACCTGCAGTTCCTCTGACATCCAGCAGAGGCAGCAGTCAGTCAGTACATGTACATGGCTGATACACAAACCGGCCATTACTCAGTAAGCAAGCGCGCTAGTTCCTACCTCATAAGTTCACGAGGAAGTCCAGGAGAATGCTGCGTTTGGAACAACAGGATGAAAATATCTATGTTAGTGTTAACTCAGAGTCAGCACATTTTTACACCAGAGAATAAAGACGGGCCAAAGATTGATTTCCAAATATACTGGCAGCTCTCCAGTGAGACATTAAAGTTAAATACAACGATGCAGTTATAAAGCTGAACTTTAATCAAAGTAACTTGCTCAGGAACAAATAAAACACTGAAATAAGCCAAACATGAACCATGGATCATCAAAGTGAATTTCATCTCATGCTTAACTTCCACTGGGTGGCGAAAGCGAGTGCCGTGATTCAGGCGTTTCTCACGAGCCTCGACCTCCCGGTCAGCTGACATCTCTGAAAATGTTGGAGCACTTTTGTAAACGGGCAATGTCTCGATAAACGATATTTAACTTTACACGTCTACATCTTTAAACATCTTTAAAGTTGTGATACAGAAAAAGGAATATTTCAAACTTTACTTAGAGTCTTTGCCACGCTCATCCACTGTTGCCACTTTCCCTCTGGGCTTAATAAAGTCTCTCTGATTTTCAGTTTTAGACGAAATGCATTCTGGGATACTTGGCTTCAACAAGCCCAGACAAGTACACACGAGTACATGCAAGTATGCATATTGAGAAACAACCTCTGGTTTGGTCTCTATAGATTATTTCCCCCCTCGTAACAGCTGCAGGGGGGAAGATGTTTTATAACTTGGCCTCTTCGACTGACAGGTGGGTTTAGCTGCGAACTGCTAATATGGCTGCTGGAGGTTATCGTAGTAACAGGGTATCCAAGGAGTCTGAGAAGCCTGCTAATGTTTAAGCTTCAAAGCCTCAGAAAGCTCTGCAGCTTCATCCCACAGATGTGTTTTTACAGGAAGGAGATGCCCTACACCTACTGTCCACCTGACCAGCCAATCAGCTTGCAGAGCAGGTGATATTCACTCAGGAAGAAAGAAACAAGCTTTATTGATAACACACATACAGAGAAATGTGTCATGTCCGAGCTGCAGACGTAGGGCTTGGTGTTTGGCACGGGGGGCCTACCCAGGACCTTGACTGGATGCTGGGATGGAATTGAACTTGCAGCTTCCACTCCAAAGGTCTTATCACTACACTATCCAGCTGCCACAGATTTTACTCACGAAGCTTCGCTGCTGCTGAAAGAGAGGAGACGTGTCATTCGAGGAAACTGCCTCTCTCCTCCGTCTGCTCGTTGTCTCACAGCTTCACGCACACACACACACAGTAACACACACGCTCGCCGCCACGCCGCGCTGGCCACGCTGACAGGATGTTAAGTCCACTTAAAGCAGCGGGGCAGGGGGAGGGGGGAGACGGGCCAAGCGAGCTGCAGGAGGAGAGAGAGGAGGACGGAGACAGGTGAAGTCAGGTGTGTACTCGTGTGTGGTTGTCGTGGTGACAGCAGGGTGAAGGATGTGCTGGTTAGCCACTGTGGCGACAGAGGACACTTCTACTCGCTCTCAGCGTGACCTTCTGCTCCGTCGCCATGGATCAACGGCAACAACCTCGCCACGGCAACCAGCCACAGATGATGAATGGCCACAACCTGGCACCTGGCAGTGACATCATAAAGAAGGCGGGTTCATTCAGACAATGAACCTTTTTACATTTGTCACATCATTTTATTTCCTGTGTTCAAACACTTTATACTCATCCTGTTTGCGGCTCGTTTAGAGTGTTCCACAAACTTTCATCAGGTCAGAGGTCAAAGAAATATCAAAGCATAGAGTTTACAGTTTGTTGCCTCCTCATTATGAAATCTTAATTTTGTTTTAGAAGCCTTTAATTAAAGAGGAAATAATGTCTGACAGTGACATCATCAGTGTGACCAGTGTTGGGAAGGTTACTTTCAAAATGTATTCCACCACAGATTACAGATTACATGCCCCAAAATGTATTTTGTAACGTATTCCATTACGTTACTCAGTGAGAGTAACGTATTCTGAATACTTTGGATTACTTAATATATTATCATGCTGTTTACAACTACATCCTATTGCTGTGTGATTTATTACTATTACTGAAGGTTACTCTCCACACCTACACCAGCTAGATGTTTAAATCTTCATATAATGAGTAACAGTAGGTGCACATTAGGTAAAGCTGCACTTTTTGCAGTGATCTCGTGTAGAAAACTATTCGCGCGTATATAAAACAGGCCCGCGGCTCCGAGCCGTAGTAAAGGGACCTCTGGCTAATACGTCGGGTTCGTGTCGGGCTCGTAGCTGAAAACTAGCTTTACTTTGTTGTCTGGGTCAACTTTGCTAGCAGAGACAGAGAGAGGCGTTGAAAGGCTGCTGCAACAGAACTTATTGTTTCAGAGGAAAACACGAACACAGCGTAGTCGAGTCTTAACAGCTTACTCACAGCTGGGCTCGTCAAAAATATTTCTTCACGTCATTATGAGCCGTGAGACTGAGACTCGGGCATTTGAGCCTCTTAATGCGTGTTTTGTTTGGGTTTTCACCGGCGTGGAAACCAAAAATAGAGAGAGCATAGCCTAACATGTAACTATAACTGAATACAGTTACTCATATTTTGTATTTTAAATACGTAACGGCGGTGCATGTACTCCGTTCCTGCTGTCATGATTAAATGTTTTTGGCTGTGTCTCTGCAGGTGGTTGTGTCAACAACGGTGAATGTGGATGGTCACGTTCTCGCCGTCTCCGACAACATGTTCGTGCACAACAACTCCAAACATGGCCGCCGGGCGCGGAGACTGGACCCGTCTGAGGGTACGCTTCTTTTTAACTCTTTTTTGCACCCCTCACTCAGATAGTGGAGCTGATGAACAAGTGCCAACCTTTCATCCAAACATGGCGACAGGCTGGGCGTGCTCAAAGGAGAACTTCCTGTCAGAGTTTCAGAGTCCACCAATCACAGTCAGCTCCTGTACTGAGAGCTGTGTCACAGGTCTGACTGGTGTAGGAGATCCGACAGTTGCAGAGAGACGAGTGTAATTTGCTCTTTGCAGAGAAATCAGCCTAGTGGATTGTGGGTAGGAAGACCAGACGCTTCAGGGTCCCCAGAGAGGACAGTGTGTGTCTATGCGTGCATGTGTGTGACTGAGTGTCTTTTCGCGGGCCGTTCAACCTCTTTAATTGCCCTCCTAATTAAAGACAGTTACCATGGAAACCACCCCTCCCAGTCAAAGCGAGGGGATGTCCCGTGGGCTTGAGCTCTCGCTCATTTTCAGCTCTGCGCTCGGTTATTTCTGCACACTTACCTCCGTGCCGTGAACGCTTTCAAACCTGCGAGTTCACCCAGCCACCCACTCCACCTCAGATCCACCGTCTCACACAGGAAGTCGCCGTCCATGCACCATGTTCTCCACGTCTAAAATAAAACACCACCGGAGTTCACTCATTGTGTTGCTCTACGAACAGACGTGTGTTTAAATATTAGATCGGTTTCCTGAGAATGCAGCGGAAACTCAGGACCAGGTGGACTCGACTGCAGATGAGTGAAACACACGCGTGTTACAAACACACCCTCATCCCTGATGACAGAACAGCCCGGCCACAGTGTGTGACTCTCAAGGTGTGATGGTCAGTAACGTTTGGGTCACTTTATAACAGATTTATTTTTCTATTTCTAAAACATGAAGCGACAGCGCAGGAGCGTCACAGAAGGTCTGCACCTGACGCCAGCTCACAGAATCCCATCGAATAGAATCGAATAGAATCGAATAGAATCGAATAGAATCGAATAGAATAGAGGTCAGGTGCTATAATGCCATTTGAAGTCATCAAGTGATGAGATTAGCTGCCCTACCTCTCTCTCTCTCACACACACACACACACACACACACACACACACACACACACACACACACACACACACGGTACTTTCATTTCACTTTATAATTAATCTGCAGCCGCACTTGAAAGACGAGAGAGAAGTAGTCATTACCGGCTGAATATGTGTGTGCCTGAGTGTGTCTGAGTGTGTGTGTGTCTGTCTGAGCGTGTGTGTGTTATTGGAGTGAACTAAGCTAAAGCGGATAAAAGCCACGACCCAATTAACATTATGTGTGCGTGTGTGTGTGTGTGTGTGTGTGTGTGTGTGTGTGACCTTCAGTTCTGTAGTAATGTAGCTCAATGTTTCTCAACCTGTGGGCCTGGACCCCTCGGAGAGGTCATGAAAGAGACTGAGTGTTCACAGGCAGGCCCGCAGCGCTGGTTTAAAATGTGGATGTTTTGATGCAGGATGTTGAAATAATGTGTGCGGAGGCTGCTTTTCAGGAGTTGAAATGTAGTTTCTCTTCTCTGATTGGCTGTGGCTCACACTGGGATTCCTAATAAAAGCCAATCAGGGCTCCAGGCCTCTGCTTTCTGAGCATCTGTGGTTCATTTGTGTTATAACGTTTTAACATGGAGCTCTGTGGCAGTGATTCCCTGCTGGAACCTCTGCTGGACACTAGAGGAACTGCAGCTTCAGTTAATGAGACGCTAACACTTCTGTCTCTCTCTCTCTCCCTCTGTGTCTCTTGGTGTCTCTCGTCCAGCAGCCACTCCCTGCATTAAAGCCATCAGTCCCAGCGAGGGGTGGACGACGGGCGGCGCCACCGTCATCCTCATTGGCGACAACTTCTTTGATGGCCTTCAGGTCGTCTTTGGCACCATGTTGGTGTGGAGCGAGGTAATACCCATGTGATCAGTTGGATAATTGATCGATATAGCAAACATTGTGTATTGTGTGTGTCAATACAACAACGATGACTCTTATTATTTCTCTCTCCAGCTGATAACCCCTCACGCTATCCGAGTCCAGACTCCGCCCCGGCACATCCCCGGAGTCGTCGAGGTCACGCTGTCCTACAAGTCCAAACAGTTCTGTAAAGGAGCGCCGGGACGCTTCGTCTATACAGGTAAGGACAGCTCCTGATCATCTGATTGGATAACACCACATTTTACCAGTGTCCTCTAGCAGGAGGCACCAGGTGGGATATTTGGACACCTTTTTAAAACAAAGCTTTATTTCCAGACTTAAAGAATGTTCTTTTAGACTCAAACACGCAGAAATCACGAAGAAGAAAATGAAGCCTATGTATAAGTTAAATAAGGAAGATCTGTGGTCTCACATTTTCTATTTTTATTATTTAGCGGTCATCTAATTTTGGCTGTATTTTTCCAGTCCAATTTTATTTATAAAGCACTCTAACATAGCCAGCACAGTGCTGTTCAGAAAATAAGTGAAAAAAAAAGAATAACAGAAAACAGCAAAAATAAATAAATAAAACACGTAATACATAGAAATTAAAACAGCCCCATATTAAACAAGAAAACAAGATGAAACAGCATAGAATCAACTAAAACCAACATCTCACGGGGTGTCAAAGGTCAGGGTCAAGAGGTGGTTCTCAGGAGTGACTTAGAAACAGGCAGAGGAGAGGCCTGTCTGCCACGATGGGCCAGTCTAACCACAAAACAACCCTGACTTCAGACAGCACTCACATGAGTCAGTAATAAGTTTTAAATAAATTCTGATGGTCAAACATCTGAACCGCTGCAGGTGCAGGTAACAGCTGTCATTAATACTGCTCCAGCTTCCTTTCTCTATTTGTTGTCAGACTGGAGAACATTTCTTCTCTCCATGTGTCCTCCTCTCCTCTCTCTTTAAGCTTCTTTTATCTCCGTTCATGCTGCATTGCAGTAATTATACACATTCAAATCCCATTAACCCGAAACATCTCTGGACCTTTACGTTAATGACCTCACACTGACACTCACTTATGCGAGTCACATGTTCACACAGCAGCTGCTTTCATACCCCAGCAGATCAGAGGGATCCACCACCTCCACCCTGCACTGCCTGCTTTGCACTGGGGGAAAGAAAACAGGAAGTGATGTTGAATAATACAGACCTCCTCCTCAGGTAGCAGGTCTCAGTCAAGTTTTTCTGCATGAGGCAGATCAACACATAAATGAGAAGCGCTGGCACAAGATCTAATATCATATTTAACTTGAATAAATGTCATTTAAATTTAATATTTCTCAGACTGAAGTTTTTCCGTAAAATTCGATCAGATTAGGGTTTTCATGTCACAGAGTACATGGGTAACCTTTCAGTTGGAGCTACTGAACATTTGGCCTAGTTTCCTGTATTCATAATTAAAATCAATTTATAAAAAATAATTTTCTTAAGTATTTAAATTATAAATAAATTATGAATAAATAAGATGGTAGTGCAAAAAGCAACCAGCTAATCGTTGAGCTGTTAAAGGAATGTCGTGAATAATGTGAGTATTTACTAAAGGAGCAAGTACCATAATGTTGGGGGATTACCTAACATTGCCCGTCCTCAGTGGGTGAAATCATTTAAAACGATGACACACGAACATAGACGTACAGCTTATCTTTATCACATGCACGGCTGGATGTACGTGTGAAGTACGTGAGTAAAGTAGAGCAGATCAATGGTGGAAACCCCGCCGATGCACATAAACGACACCACTCCGCTCGTTATGGTTTCTCTCTGTGGTAATGTGTGCGCTCAGGCAGACACACGGCGTCAGCAGTCATGCAATTTCCATGAGTATCGATCTCAAAGTATTGATCGCTCCAACGCCTCCTGTCTGACCCGCCTTCAGATTTTCACTTCCTCAACACCCTCACATGCACACACACACACACACACACACACACACACACACACAC